TTGAAATTTTTACAACTTGGTAAAATTTTGAGTTTACAAGGGTCTTACAATAAACATTCCTACTGCTCCTAAAAGTAATGGTGGAAGAAAGAACATGTTCGAGTTAAAATGAACTACAATGAGTATTAAATAAGAATGGCATATGGCAAAAATATTTTCATTAGATATCAGGGAGACTAGACCAAGACAACGACTTCTTGGCATATAGGCTTATTTGAGTAATGTTTTCGCAGTTATAGGTTACTGGTAGAATAAATATTATTCCCTGAAAGGTTCAAGTCAAAAACAAGAAGTTTATCTGAAAACACAAGCCTAGGATATATTGTACACTTCAAATGGTTCCCTAACACGTTCAAATGAGTCAAAGCTTGCAAGGAAGCAATACACGCAGGCAATACCCCAACAATAGAATTATTATACAAATTTAACATAGTGAGAGACTGAACTGAAGCTGAAAAGCAAGGCAAAGTACTAGTTAAGTGATTGAAAGCTGAAAACCAACATAGTGAGAACACAACCAAGTTTAATTCATGAAAGTAGACTGGTTTGCACAACAATTGAAGTCAGATTCACAATATCTTAATTTCTGACATATCAACTCCCTTATGCCTTCAAAATAACACTAGTACAAAAACAACGTATAATGTCACGCGTTCAACGTCTAACCACTGAATAGCCAACGTTAAAAATGAGCAGTGACATTTTTGTAAATAAATGCAATTATTAAACGTCGTTTAGAATTGTTATTCGACGTAAAAGGATATAAAACGTCGAATGCCCTTTAAATTTGATGCCAAAAGGTTAGTGAATTCAATAAAAATTAGAGCAGGAGATTGAAAATTCATTCACTTTATCTTAGCGCGCGATACCCTCTTCTCTTCTCAAACTTTTCTCGAATGAAGTTTGACGAGCATCACATGTAATCTTTCTTTCATTTGATACAAATGCATGTTAATTAACTACTTTATGTATGATTTTTGTTTGTTTTAATCGATTACTTTCGTGCTCTTCTCCTTCATAGGCGCATTCTGCTTTCTCTCTCACTACTGACGCTAACGAAACTTTATTCCAATGAACCCACCTTTTGAAGGTTAGTTTTCGTTTTCATTTTGAAGAACTTATGTGTTGAACTTGTTTGTTGTTTTTTTTGTTGAACTTGTTTGTTGTTGTTTGGTTGAACTTGTTTGCTGTTGTTTGATTGAACTTGTTTGTTGTTGGTTATTATTGTTTGTTGTTGATACTACAATACACGTTCATAGTTCATGCTTTATAAAATACCAAACACTGAAATTTGTTGTTTTTTTTTTTTGCTTTTCAGGTCTCATAAAATTGTAAAAAAGGATCAAAATTAATTAAAAAAACAAAAAACATTGATTAACGTTGAATATTAACAAAATTCGACTTTAAGATAACGTCGTATATTAACAAAATTCGACGTTAATTTAACGTCTCTTGATATGACGTCGTTCGCGAATTCGTCGTTAAAAGCCTAAAATATTCGACGTTGTATGCGATTTTTGTACTAGTGTAAGCAAGTCCAACAACCAATTTTATGAACAATGAATGAAATGGACTCTGAACAGTTAATTTCACTCCACGACAACAATCAGAAATTGAGAACAAATCAAAAGTGGTCCCTTAGCATTAAATACGAGAAGTCATTGAGTTACAACGTTCAAGTGGTCCCTTAACAGTTTACTGAACATTACATGTGCTACTACTACATGACAAAAAAGAGGTCAAAAAATATTGTACGCACTACTAAGTTGTTCCCTAAGGGGGTCACATTCAGTACATAAAAACATTAAAAATATCACATGCCTACACTAAAAGTTCAATTGCTACTAGCTTGAGACCCTACAACTTGTGCAGCCAGTATTCTTGTGGATGTTCTTCTTCCCCTTTCACGCCTAGTTGCCCTAGTGGATGTTGTTCCAGCTTGTGATGTTGATGCAGGTCCTCCTTCTGTCGAAGTTCCCCTTCTTGATGTTCTTCCACCTTATGATATTGATGTAGATCCTCCTATATATGGAACTTTGTCTTCTTGATGTTCTTCCAGGTTGTGTTGTTCCAGATCCTCTTTCACTCGCACTTGCCCTTGTGGTCTGTCAAACAAGTAAGGTAGTTAGAATTCACATAGTGTAAATAACTGAAATTGTAAATAACATAATATTAAGAATTACCTTGGTTTTCTTTCCCTTTGTACAACTTCTAACATTATATTCATATTGATTACAGCTGTTACACTTCATACCAATATTTTTCTTTGACAACTTTTAATGACTAACATATTCATCAACTTCCCTTCTTCTTAGATTTTTAGGCCTCCCAAGAGGTGTTTTATAAATTGGTGGTAGTAGTGGTGCACAATCAGATGTAGGCCACAATTGTTGTCCATTGATTGGAATAATTTAAGGGCCATAACAAGTTTCATAAGCATGCTTCTTGTAATATGGATCAACATAATCTTCAGGGTTCTCTAACATATTGTATTCCATTATTGTTAACGAACTTTCCATTGTGATGCAAAGAAACATCGAAAATCATTTCTAAACCTACATTGTAACATGAACAATTCATGTCCAAATAACACCAATTGTAAGCGAAAATCAAAAGCAAAAAATTGCCGTCCTCGCAATCGCTGTTCTTTCACATCAACCACTGCAGCCACACCAAGCACTACCAGAATTTGATCGAAGAGAAAATTAACTAAGGAACCCTAATCGCGATTTTGGATTTAGCTTAAAGATAAAAGTAACTAAGGAATCCTAATTTTGCTTTGCATAAAAAAAAAACCCAATTTACCTAAGTAAGGAAATATTTAGCCAGCTCATCCTAATTTTAACGGCGTTGCTTTTGGAGGACGAAATATTACAACTTCCTTAAGGACAAAGATCAAAATGAACCAAAATTTGAAAAATGGACTAAATCCAAAAAGTATGATAATTGAGAGACTAAACAAATTTAACCCTTACAAAATATAAAACATTTCACCAACACCCAAAACTTGAGTACTTAAAATTTAACCTTCTTTAAAACATGAATTTACCATTTAGAACATTAATCAATATCAAATAATGCTAAATTCTAGGTTGTTTATACTATTATATGTGCTAGATTGTCTTTAGTTTCAAAGTAAACTTTTCTATTTTAAATAGTCTAAAAATCTCAAGCATAATAAACAACAATTGAAACTTATTAAAGCACAAATGTAAGTATTTTTATATCGTATATTTATCATCGTCTCCGTTTCCATTTTCCCATGCTTTATGATGATAAACACTTGACAACGCTTTAAATAAAAATTACTTCGAAAATAAAAAAAGTTAATACGTATTTTACACAAAACAATAATGTGAAAAAAATATTTCACCATTTATGATATAATTAATACGAACACAAAAGTTATATTAATTAAACATAGAAAAATTCCAACCATATACCAAATTTTAAAAAAAATAAAATAAAATGATATATCATTAATTAACTACAATACCCAATATTTTAACCATTCATAAATCGAAAGCATAAAGTATACAGACCCGTATACTTCAAATGACATCAAAATAACACTTATCTAAACCAGAAAACCTGAGACAAACTATGACAAAAACTTAGAAACCAAAGCTAACTAAATATCATCATCATCATCATCGTGAATCTTCTTCTCTACCATATCTCATCTATGCAAAGACTACAACGATCAAAGTTCATCCGATGCATTTTCTTCTTCATGCCTCTGTTGCAACTCCATTAACCTGATGTAAAATATACCAAAAATTTTGTTCAAATGCTTGCAAAATGCAGCAATTCATATTTACCTATCTTGAGGACAGCATGCTAAGTTTATGCAGCACAAAATGCAGGATCTACATTATATCTTTATGCTTACAGAAGATCATTTATTTACATTTCTACAGTAATAACATTTTCTAGAGCAAGAGATTAGCAATGACTATAAAGAAAAGAAAAAACAGTTAATTTTTAACTACCTACACTCTGAACTATCACCTTTTCGTGTTTTGTTTAGTTTTGTACTTATACAGACATGTCGCCATTACAAAGTTCAGAGGGAAAGAGGATCATATACCCTTTTGCATTGGAAATGTCTGAGGCATTGCCAGAAAAACCTTCAACACGATGGACATCACAGGATTTTGGAGCAGACACATTGCAGACAAACGGTTTGAAAAGTGGATCAGGCACTGGTTCTGCAATGCTTCCAACAGCAGGAAATTTCATGTAAGTCACTGGTTCCTTATCATCAGTGTAATTGAAAACTGAATCATTTCCTGTAAAGTTTAAAAGGGATATGCATTAGTAAGCTTTTTTCAGACACCACACAACTACTCCCTTTTAAGTGTCACCTTTGTTATACTCAGGATCATGCTCTTCTGTTTGGTCATGAACTTCTCCAATACCATATCTAGGAACCCCCCAATTTCGATTAATTCCCTTCCCCGGTGCAAAAGACTGAACTCCTCCATTGATTTTGCTCAATTCCAAACGCAGCTTCTCCATGTTCCTCCTTGAGGCAAGAGATTTTGGCTTTCCCTTTGGGAAATCACTATCATTTTCCATATATATATATATATACCTTCAAATTTCTATTACACCAAAGAAACTGTTTTTGCTATGGCTTTGAAGGTTCAACAAAGTGGTACATATATATACAAAATGGTCTCATACTGAGTGAAGGATAAGGGAAACATTGATGGAAAGCTGCATAATCTGGGGTAGTTTTTCAAACTTGCCATATAAAGAACAACCTTAGAATCAATGCAGCAGTGGTCAAATTAAGATTTCTTTTTCTAACCACCAATTAAGACAGACAAAATTTTGGCTGTCGCTTTCATCAACCGTGAATTGCATAGAATCCAACGTAACAATTACAGGAAAATGATGTTCTGTTGTATTACGGTCAATGGTGAATGCCAAAATAAACATTGAAAAAAGAAAAAAGTTTCAAACTTGACCATTTGACTAATACTAAACATTGCTCACTGAGCCAACCCAAGTCAATAGCAGCAAAAGGGGTATTTGCTTTTATTCAATTTTTTCTAAATTCAAAGAGAAAGAAACCCAGAACAGGACAGGCTTTCCTGTCAATTTGCAATTTTGTTTACTGATTTCTTTGCCATCTGACTCAGAAAGATTGACCATTCATCACTCTCACGTGCCACTTTAATCCATTTATGTTACCAGAAACCACGTTTTCAATAAGCGATTGTGAAAATATAGATCCCAATACAATCAACAATTTCCTGAGGCCGAAGCTCTGTGCTTTCAATTATATTTTAAGTGTTTATTAACTTCATTTTCTCAACTTGTATATCAACAGCTCAACAGCAAGTGCGTTTATTTAGAACATTTAGTTTTCTATTTGTAAACCATATGTAAATTTGATTTTACAAAACCGTAATTTCGTGAACTTGGTGTTTTTAAGCTTAATTAACTATACCTTTAGTCTCCGAAATTGAAAGTGAGTATAATTATTTTCCCTGGGAATTCAGAAAAAAAAAAACTACTTTAGTTCTTTAAATTAAAAAGAAAATGTACAGTTTTAATAGCTCAAATTTACTGTTTGAAAAATTAAAAGGGTTTTGGAAAAATCATTTAAATCCCTCATATTTTAACAGCTAGCTTTAAAAAACAGTTTTTTTTCAAATGTGAGGAACTAAAATTATACTTATTTTGAGAGAACAGAAAATAAATTTGTATTATTTATGTTAAGAGAATTGAAGGTGAAAGTGAAGAGGAATGTAATAAGTGTAATTAATTTAAAATAAATTGTGATTGATTAAAAATTATTTTAATTAAATATTGAATTGTAAAAAAAATTAATAATATTATTAATTAATTATTTTTGTCATTATAAATTTTATTAATATTTTATTTAGATGTTGTAATATTTTTTCTATTAATATTATTTTTAAATACTTTATATTTTATTATTATTAAGTTATAATTATTAATATTTTTTTGTTATTATAATTATTAGTTATCATAGATAAAGATTGTAAAATTCAGAAAAAAATAATAAAGATTTGATAATTACATTTTTCATGACTTCAAACCATCTCCCATCTTCCACCCTTGAATACTTTCTCTTATTTACGTACAAATCTTTGAAGAAAACTGTTTATTGAGAGGAACACAACCTAAGGCACAAAAAGTGAACCACTCACCATATGATTTTTTTTTTTATAACTAGATGAACATTATAACACGTGTCAATTTTGTTGCATTGCATGAAATCTAAATTTACATTAAATAGAATTACGGCGAAGTTGCCGATTGTTGGAGAGGGTGCGTTTCGACCGAAATTTAAGGTAAAGATATTTCTTTATTTAAATGGTTAAATTGATATTTCACATTGGATTTTTCTTTTATATTAAATTATTTTTAAAAAAATTTATCAATCAAATGATATTATGTTGTTTCTATAATGATTTTAAATTGATATTTTTCAATAAATTACATTACTGTCATGAAAACTTTATTAAGAAATAAAAAAAATCATGAAAACAACTTAAATTTATGATAAAATTATATAGCAAATATAGATAAAGAAATATATTATGAAAAAATTCATAATATTTTTTGGAAAAATCATTTCACACTTTAAACTCCATATATCTTAAAAAAGAGTAAATTCCTCTTCTATTAAAAAAAATATCATTAAGGAATCCTTTCACATCGAAAAAAGACCTTTCATTTCTAAAATTTTTTTAGTATTAACTTTTTTTCTTATCCCGACTAAGTTTATTTGTAATTGGTTCATCATCCTCTTCAATATTAGAATTTTTCTTCTTATCAACATATTAATCTAGAGTTATTTTTAATTCTTCTGCAAAACGAGTCTCCTTAGATGTCAAAAGATTAGGAACTACTACTGAACTACTTTGAATTGAATCTAATTGTTGC